GTCTCACACACACACACACACACACTCACAAAATCCTCACTGTCATTGAGTTGATTCCAACTCAAAGCGACCTTATAGGGCAGAAGGGCAGAGTAGAATTGCCCCATGGGGTTTCCAAGACTTTAACTCTTGATGGAAACAACTGCCTCATCTTTCTCCTATGGAGAAGCTGGCGGGTATGAACTGCTAACCTTTTGGTTAGCAGCCAAATGCTTTAACCACTGCACCACTAGAGCTCTTCCTTAACTACCACAGCAGATGGTATTTGCTAGTTGGTGTCTCTTAGTGATTTTTCTGTTTGAGTCAGTGTGAAAAGAGAAGTAGTTGTTTGCAGTCATGTAATTCCAAGTTCATATTTCCTCTTATATGATATTTTCTTCTAGAATGGGGTCATTCCCACGACTAACCTACTTGAGTGTTGCTGATGCTGATCTACTCAACCGGACTTGGTCACGGGGTGGAAACGAACAGAGTCTCCGATACATCGCCAACCTCATCTCCTGCTTCCCCAGCGTGTGCATCCGTGATGACAGGGGGAGGCCAGTCTCATGGTCTATCACAGACCAGTTTGCCACCATATGCCATATCTACACTCTGCCAGAGCATCGTAGGAAAGGTTATAGCCAGCTGATCACCCTCACACTGTTCAGGAAGATGCTTAGCCGGGGATTCCCCTCTCAAGGCAATGTTCGGGATGATAACAGTAAATTCATAAGTATCCTGAAGAAAATCAATGTTGAGTTTTTGCCTTGTCGCTTTCATCGGCTTATTCTCACCCCTGCAACCTTCTCTGCTTAGTTCACCTCTAGCCTAGAGAAACCCCAGGAATTTTCTTACTTTTCCTGAACAATATGCCCACACCTTACCTGCCACTGTGTTGTTATTGTTGTTAGATCCATCATATCGATTTTGACTTATAGCTACCCTATGTACAACAGAATGAAACACTGCCCACTCTTGCACCATCTGCACAATCACTGTCATGCATGAGCCGATCATTGCAATCACTGTGTCACTCCATTTCATTGAATGTCTTCCCCTTTGGCACTGACCCTCTACTTTACCCAGCATGATATCCTTCTCCAGGGACTGGTCCCTCTGACAACATGACAGAAGTGCAAAAGACCAAGTCTGGCCATTCTCACTTCTAAGGAGCATTCCAGCTGTACTTTCTCTAAGTCATGTTTGTTCATTCTTCTAGCAGTCCATGGTACATTCATTATTCTTCACCAACACAATTCAAATGAATCATTTCTTCTGTGGTCTTCTTTATTCATTTTCCAGGTTCTGCATGCATATGAGATTATTGAAAATACCACAGGTTGGGTCAGACACACCTTAGTCTTCAAAAGTGATACCTTTGCTCTTTAACACTTTAAAGATGTCTTTTGCAACAGATTTGCCCAATACAATACATCATTTGATTTCTCGACTGCTGCTTCCACTGGCATTGATTGTGGATCCAAAGTAAAATGAAATCCTTGACAACTTCCATTTTTTCTCCATTTATCATGATGTTTATTGGTCTGGTTGTGATTATTTTTATTTTCTTTATGTTGAGGTATAATCTATACTGAAGGTTGTAGTTTTTGATCTCCATCAGTAAGTGCTTCAAGTCACCTTCACTTTCAGCAAGCAAGGTTGTATCATCTGCATATCACAGGTTGTTAATAAATCTTCTTCCAATCCTGATGCCACATTCTTCTTCTGTATAATCCAGTTTCTCAGATTATTTGCTGAGCATACAAATTAAATAAGTGTGATGAAAGGATACAACCCTGATGCACACCTTTTCTGATTTTAAACATTGCAGTATCTCTTTGTTTTGTTTGAACAACTGCCTCTCAGACTATGTACAGTTTGCTCATGAGCACAATTAAGTGTTCTGGAATTACCATTTTTCCCAAAATTCTGTAATTTGTTATGATCCACACATTTGAATGCCTTTATATAATCAATAAAACAAAGACAAACATCTTTCTGGTATTCTTTGTTTTCAGCCAAGATCTATCTGATATCAGCAGTGATGTTCCTCATTCCATGTTTCTGAATCTGGCTTGAATTTCTGGCAGTTCTCTGCCTATGTACTGCTGTGAGTGTTTTTCAATAATTTTTAGCAATATTTTAGTTGCATGTGGTATTACTGGTATCATTTTATAATTCCCACAGTCTGTTGGATCACCTCTCTTTGGAATAGGGAAAAAATATGGATCTCTTCCAGTCAGTTGACCAGGTTGGTGTCTTTCAAATTCCTTGGTATAAATGAGTGGGTACATCCAGCACGGCATCTGTTTGCTGAAACATCTCAATGGGTATTCTGTCAATACCTGGAGGCTTGTATTTTACCAATTTCTTCAGTACAGCTTGGACTTCCTTCAGTACCATTAGTTCTTGATCATATGCTACTTCTTTAAGTGGTTGGATGTTGACCAATTATTTTTGCAGTGATTCTCTGTATTCCCTCCACATTCTTTTGATACTTCCTGCATCATTCAATATTTTGCCCATAAAGTCCTTCAATATTGCAACTCAAGGCTTAAATTTTTCGTACGTTCTTTCAGCTTGATAAATACCAAGTGTATTCTTCCCCTTTGATTTCCAACTCCAGCTGCCAGTGTGGGGAGAAGTAAAATTGAAATCAGAAGAATCTAGGATTATTGAAAAGGGCCTGGAGAAGACATGCAGGATCAACTTTGAGAAGCCTTAAGTCTTTGCATCTCAGGTTTCTGTGATAAATAAGTATAACAGTCAGGAGTAGCTTTGGCTGAGAATAGAGGATGATTGTCCTTTGGAATTCACTGCAGGAAAAAAAGATTTTAAAGCCAGCAGTTCTCAGCACAGTAGCAGAAATGCTGCATGGCTACAAATGATTTGAACAGGAGTTGTGGCTACTGCTTTCTTATTGCTGGTTGGGCCTCTGCTCTATGTTCATATATCCAGACCAGTCGCCTACTGGCATAGTGCCCTACCTCCCTGCTGCTATATCTCCCTAACCTCTATTCTTACCATCCCTGACCCAAGGTGTCTGTAGAGTGTCCAGTTTTAATTTTTTAATTTACTGGCTCTCTACATCTGCCTACAAATCTAGCCTATATTCTTCCCCATGAATCCTTGATTGCAATGGTTCTCACATTTTAGTGTGCATCAAAATTAATTGGAGGAGAGGTTACAACACAGATTACTGGGACCCACCCCCATAGTTTCTGATTCTGTAGATCCGGGATTGAGTTTAAGGATTTACATTTTTAACAAGTCCCCAGATGATTCTGATGCAGGTATACTTGGCCCACAATTTGAGAACCACTGTTCTATTGCCTTGGATGGAGGAATGAGAAGCATAGGGACATTTTAAATGACAGACCAGATGATGTCAGCATATGACATCAAGATAGGCCTTACCCATTAAAACTCCATTCCTTTCATTTATAATCTGCTTTTTCATGAGAACTAAGCTATATATGTTGTTAACAAATGCACATATAAATATATGCATATATAGAAACATTTCATTCATATTTTGTTTGTGT